CTCGGTGAAGAGCAGTTACTGAACTAAGGAGTGACAGTGATGCGACAATATTTATATGTGCAGGCGGAGCCTGACATCTGTCGTCATCACGTCACCTGCCTAAAGGCGTGATTAGAGGTGGCTTCAGCCAGGACACGCAGGGGCGTGGTTCCCATACATGATGTTGTACCTCGTTCCTTTCCTTCAGGGAACAGTAGTTATATGCATAACATTACGTTTTTTGGGGAGGTGAACAAGCCGTCGTGTGCGGGGGGGGTGTAGCGGCAAAGAGGTCGAAAACATGGAAGTAAACTGTGCTGTTTCTCGCCAGTAGTTATCACGGGATTTGTAGTTTAACGCGTACAAAGACTGGTAGCAAACTTAGCACTTCATAAAAGTAAAAAAATGAAGACTTGACAAAATAAATTTTAAGAATTTTAAAAAAATGGTGGGTTAAAGATTGGTTACTTTGACCTTACATTGGTTACTTATTAGAGAGGTATCCAAATTCTGTTTCTTTAGAATACGCTTGATTGTTGTAGTTTTTAAGGCCTGAGGAAAGTGACTTGAGTAAAGAGAAATATTAACTATCTGCAAAGAAGACTGTAATTTTGGCGTCCATTTTTCTTAGAAAATTAAATGGTAAATAGTCTGAACTTATGTTTTGTCAAGTCTCTTTGGACTCCAAAGCACTTCACATGATAATCTTTCCCCTATTCAAACATACATTCACACAATGATGGTGGTAAGCTACACTGTAGCCACTGCTGCTCTGGGGCAGACTGACAGAGGCTGAAAACTAAAACTCCTTTAGGAAAGATTTTTGAATGAAAATGAGCACTAAAAGGAGGCAGCTGCATTCTGATCAACACTAAATTCCACCTGTAAGTACAGCCTGTCATGTCCGCTCTTTGTTTTCATCTTTATTATTTACCTTTGATCTTGTGGAGCAGCTGTCTCTGGAACATGGAGTATCTGAGGGCTTGGAGAAACAGCTGAACATCTTGTTGCTTACATGTGTTTAAGGCCTCACTGCTAAGAGGAATCACACAGTCCTGTAAAAATGACAAAGACATTAACAAAAACTCCCAACTTGGTTTTGTGTTTTGAGTTTTACGCTTCAGTTGACTTCAGATGAATACTTGTGCAAAGGCCAACAAGAAACAAACAACAGTCTCTAACAAGCTGGTGTTTAGTATGAAATAAGATTAGTTTAAGTAATGCCTTTTTAAAATACAGGGAAAAAAATCCAGAATTACTGTCTCTACTACTAAAACCAAACAAAAGACTGCTGAGAAAGTTAAAACAGTTGTTAAAGCTAAATGGAGCAAAATGCTAACAAAACACCACAAGAAGAAAAAAATTATTTTCAGGTTTAGAAAACCTGTGTTTGCATTGTAAGGCTCGGCCACCCCTGCTCCAGTTTGCTCGACCTTACTCTATATCGGTTGTGTTTGCATTGAGAAGAGAGCCGCCTCGATGTGGGCGGGATATATATATATACAGTGGGGAGAACAAGTACTTGATACACTGTTGATTTTTCAGGTTTTCCCACTTGCAAAGCTTGTAGACGACTGTAATTTTTATCATAGGTACTCTTCAACTGTGAGTGATGGAATCTAAAACAAAAATCCAGAAAAATACAATGTATGATTTTTAAATAATTAATTTCCATTTTATTGTGTGAAATAAGTATTTGATACACCAGAAAAATGAAACTTAATATTTGGTACAGAAACCTTTGTTTGCAATTACAGAGATCAGACGTTTCCTGTAGCTCTTCACCAGGTTTGCACACACTGCAGCAGGGATTTTGGCCCACTCCTCCATACAGATCTCCTCCAGAGCCTTCAGGTTTTCGGGGCTGTCGCTGGGCCACACGGACTTTAAGCTCCCTCCAAAGATTTTCTATTGGATTCAGGTCTGGAGACTGGCTAGGCCACTCCAGGACCTTAAGATATTTCCTACGGAGCCACTCTTTAGTTGCCCTGGCTGTGTGTTTTGGGTTGTTATCATGCTGGAAGACCAAGCCACGACCCATCTTCAGTGCTCTTACTGAGGGAAGGAGGAGGGACATCACTGTCATCCACCGCTGCATCCCTCCCATCCAAGATGGACCGTTTTCAGTCCAGCCTCACTGACAAGTGCTATAAGGCGGCTGCCCTGTCTGCAAGAGCCCTGAACGCCTCTTCCATTTTGACGGCGTACCAGGCGGAGTTGGAAGAAGATATGTCCGCTAAACCAGATAACACCCTCTGGGAAGAAATCTGCGTCATAACGGATCACATTTTCCACCTCCACAAGATGGCGATACAAGCCACGGAGAAGGCCATGGTTCTCATGGTTCTTCAGGAGAGGGCACGTTGGCTTGGGCTGACAACCAGGGAGAAGGAGGCGTTCCTTGACACCCCGGTTGTCCCCCACGGTCTCTTCGGAGCAGCGGTTACCACCATGCAGAAGAGATGTGAGGAGAAAAAGAGGGATGATGAGACGCTGAAACTTCGTCTGCCGAGAAAAGTACATCTTGCCGCCTCTGTTCCGGCGCCACGTCATTCAAATGCATTGGCTGCCACTCGCCCACCTCCGGCTTTCAGGATCCCCAAGGTGCCTAAAGTGCAGGCCGCGACACCGCATCCCGGAGGTCCGAAAAACCCGTGGGCCAGGAAGCAATCCCCTCAGGCACGTCCTCAGTCTGCCCAGCCTCCACCCACCGCCGCTGTGAGCGGGAGGAAGAAGAAGCGGAAGGGCCAAACAGCCTCACCTCCCGGTGGCAGCGAGCCCAGTTCACCCTTTTCACGGGCCGCCCCACCACCCCCAGGCCCAGTTCTGAAGCCAGCCCGGGGAGAAATGTTTCACACAGTGTGCCAACCCTAAGCAGTTATGCTCGTTCTGGGGCCAACAGTAAAGAAACAGTGTTCAGACAGTTGTCACAGAAGCACTTTTTACATGCACTCTGTAATAAAAATGTTTCAACACGCGCATCCAGGCAGAAAGCCGAGGGCGCTGTTCAACTTTGTGAAAAAATTAAAAACAAAAATTATGCTGAAAAACACACTGCTGTCTACCATAACGCAGCTGCAGGAAACCCGTGTCTCCGCAGCTGTGAAGACAGCATCACAGAAAACCCCCTGCCACACGTTAGAGGCGGCAACGGGGACGGTTGTGGCATGTTCTGGTGTTCGACCAGAAGGGGGCAGCATTGCCTCAATTTTGCCACAGTGGCCAGTCAGCCCCCTCTCGTTACAGAGAGCGCTGGGCAGCCTGCAGTGCACACAGTCAAACTGGGTGCTGCGGACAATCGAGCGGGGATACAGACTCCAGTTCAAAGCCGCCCCACCCCATTTCACAAAGATTGTGTCATCTCAGGTAAAAAGAGAAAATGTAAACACTCTTCTGGAAGAAATTTCCACGCTAAAGAAAAAGGGAGCAAAAAGAGTTGTTTATCCCTCAGAAATCCACAAGGGGTTTTACTCAAGGTACTTCCTGGTCCCAAAGAAAGGTGGACAGGGAATGAGAGCCATTTTGGACCTCCGTGCCTTGAATCATTACCTGAGAAAATAGCTGACTCACGCCTCTCTGCTGAGATCGGTGCGAGCAGGCGACTGGTTCACTTTAGTCGACCTGAAGGATGCCTATTTCCACATAACAATTTATTCCCCTCACCAGAAACACCAGCGCTTCACATTCCAAGGGACAGCATTTGAGTTTGTGGTTCTGCCCTTCGGGTTATCACTGAGCCCAACAGTGTTTTTAAAAATGCACAGACGCTGCTGTGGCTCCACTCAGGGAAAGGGGTTTACGTGTGGCAACGTACATAGACGGCTGGCTAGTGTCTGCTCAATCACCCCAGGAGGCAGCTCACCACACCAATATAGTGGTGAAGCATTTGGAGCATCTAGGCTTTCAGATAAACCTAGAAAAGAGTGTCCTAACACCCTCTCAATGCATCACTTTCATAAGGCTGAGTCTGGACTCTCTCCAGTTCAAAGCTTTTTTTATCCCAAGAAAAGGTAGAGATCTTGTGTTTAAATCTACTGTAGCTCGGTTTCGCAGGGGGAACTCAGTTACTCTGAAACAATGCCAGAGACTGTTAGGTCTAATGGCTTCCTCAGTGGTGGCAATACCACTTGGTCGTCTCTATATGAGGGGAATCCAGTCATGGGTGTCATCCCTGAACCTGGACCCACACCATGACGGCGACCGCAGAGTAGTAGTCTCTAAAACCTGCTCCTTAGTTCTACGTCAGTGGAAGAGCCCAGGCTTCCTGACTCAGGGCACCCCTATGGGCACCATTTCTACCCGCAAAGTGATCACCACAGATGCCTCTCTGGTATGCTGGGGTGCCACTCACGATGGGAAATCCATAAATGGCAGATGGGGGCCCCATATGCGCTCGACTCACATAAACTGCTTGGAGCTGTTGGCTGTTCATCTAGCTTTGAACCATTTTCTAAAATGGCTCAAAGGGAGCAATGTCCTGATGAAAACAGACAACTCCACAGTGGTGGCCTACATCAACAGGCAAGCGGGGCTGAGGTCCCCCCGCTTACACACACTGGCACACAAACTGATAATTTGGAGCAGTGTGAACCTATGGTCTCTGAAAGCAACTAACATAGCAGGAGACCTGAATTATGGTGCAGACCTGTTATCCAGGGGCAATCCGCTTTATGTGGATTGGAAACTCTACCCCGAGGTGGTAAACCAGATCTGGTTGAGATTCGGTCACACAGTCATGGACCTGTTCGCATCAAAACAGAATGCTCAGTGTCCACTTTATTTCTCCCTGCTGGACCAGGGAGCTCAACTGGGGGTGGATGCTTTAGCATACAGGTGGCCGAGGTCTCTACTCTATGCCTTCCCTCCAATAGCTTTCATCCCTCCCATTCTGATAAGGGTGAGGGAGGAGGGTCTGTCTGTAATTCTGATAGCCCCAAGGTGGCTGGGGAAACACTGGCTGGCGGAGATCTTTCAACTTTAGTGCAACACACCGTGGTAATTACCGCTCCGCAAGGACCTGCTATCCCAGGCGCAAGGACAGATATCTCATCCCCATCCGGAGATGCTGGCTCTGTGGGCATGGCCCCTGAGTGGCTGATTCAGAATGCAGAGGGACTCCCTGCTGGCGTTATTGACACCATTCAATGTGCCAGAGCACCCTCAACCAGGTCCCTGTATGAGTAAAAGTGGAAGGTGTTTGAGAGCTGGTGCTTAGACTCTAACATCATCTCTTATCAGTGTTCAGTGGTAGTGATCTGGTCATTTTTACAGAACCTTATTGAAAGAGGCAAAGCCTTTTCAACCATAAAGTATATTTGGCTGCTATTTCAGCTTGTCATGTTGGTTTTGAGGGAAAAACAGTGGGCCAACACCCTTTGGTGTGCCGTTTTATGAGAGGGGTACGCCGCAAATTGCCCACGTTCAGGCCTTTGGTCCCATCCTGGGACCTCCCCACTGTTCTAGAAGCTCTTTCTGGTTCTTTCTTTGAACCTCTGGAAGAAGTGGAATTGAGATTATTATCCCTCAAAACAGCTTTGTTACTCGCATTGGCTTCAGCTAAATGGATAGGTGAGATCCACGCTTGTTCGGTGCATCAAGCCTGCATAAAATTTTCCCCCAATAATGCTAAAGTCATACTGCAACCAAACCCAGCTTTTATTCCAAAAGTATTGGGTTCATGCTCTCCAATAGAGTTGACCTCTTTTTACCCACCCGCTTTTGCTTTGGAGGAGCAAAGGCGTTTGCACAATTTGTGCCCAGTGCGTGCACTGCTGATCTATTTGGACAGGGACACAAGGTTTTAGGAAAACCAATCAATTGTTTGTGTCCTGGGCAAAACCACATATAGGAAAGTCAGTGTCAAAACAGCGTCTTTCCCACTGGATTGTGGAAGCTATTATTTTTAGCATATTCTAGCAGGGGACTCCAGCCCCTGAAAGGTGTTAAAGCGCACTCCAACAGGGGACTTGCATCCTTTTGGGCGCTTTTTAAAGGGGTCCCTATCCAGGAGGTGTGTGCAGCTGCATGCTGGTCCTCCTCTGACACTTTTACTAGGTTTTATAAGCTTAATGCGACTGCTCCTGTTTTGGCACATTCAGTCCTAAGTGCAGGGTCTCACTGTGCAACCTCTTACTGAGCGGCCTCTGGGAACAGTAGTCATTAAAACAGGCATGTCTGGCAATCTGGGAGTCAGTATTTCTCCCCATAGTGAGACACGAAACGAATGCTATGAAAGAGAACTTAAGGTTATGAACATAACCCAGGTTCTGTGAGTAGCATGAGTGAGTGTCTCACCAGACCACCCTCCTTGCTGCGAAGCGAGGAAGAGGTGAGCTTGTTGAATAATGACTGATGCTATGTCAGCCCCTTTTATAGAGGGAGGGTCTGGGCCCCTCCTGACATAGACGTCACTTGTGCCGGCCAATCAGGGCTGGCGTAATGAAATTTAAGCTTCCGATGAGGTCACGCAGGAGGCGTTCCCCATCGTGAGACACTAACTCATGCTAATCAGAGAACCGGGTTTATGTTCATAACCTTAAGTTTCTTCCTGGTGGAGTCAAAAAAAAAAAAAAAAAAAAGGTCAGACTCGTCGCCCGACGTTATTTATCAACAAACTGGTCCCAGATTAAGCTCCAAAGTTTTTAATCAGTCAGATCACTTCATGCAAAACATCTGTTATATTTCCTTTCATGAATTTTTGGCTGTTTGACTCTCTTTATAAATTGCTGCTTCCTGGTACAACAGTCGGCTTCTGGAGACGAGTCAGCTTTATTTTTTTTTAAGCGAGTGGTTGAAGCAAAATGCAGCGTCTGAGCATTTTCAACACATACACTCCCACAAACTTCTGACCAATCACATAATAAAGTTCTTATGTGGAAGGGGGTTAAAAATCGTGGCCCGCAGGTTGTGACAAGAAGGTGCCGAAATGTGGACAATTCAAACAGAATGATGCAATTTTCATCATGAAACTGACAGTTCGGCCTGATTTCAGCAGTTCAGATGCAGCATGCTGCAGCCTTTACAGTTCTTTGCCCTACTCCATCACATCGCCCTCTGGTGACAGAGTACTGTAGATTGTGATCTATAAAACGTGGTGTCTGCAATTTCTGAATTAAAGTTTGTGAGTTCAAACAGTTGTCTTCAATATTGTTACAAGCTACACAACAGTAGTTTAAAGACAAAAAAGAAAAGAAAAGAAAAACCCTCGCTTAAAGTAGCTAAAGGTTAGCTCAAATCTAAAAGCAGCAAAAGGCTAGGTAAAAGTTACAAAAAGCAGAACAGAAGTTAAACAGAGTCAGCATTCACACAACTAGAAGTGTAGTAAGGAGCAAAGTAAATTTAAAATAATAATAAAAATAATAACATGCAGTGAAATGTGTGCGTTTGTACTTACATCTTGACCTGTGAGAGTGTTTTCCATAGCGGCAGTGCAGTGGAGCTGCATGGTGGGCAGAGTGGGCAGGGCATCAGACAGAGTGAGGGTGGACAGACGCAGAGGGCCCAGGCAGATCCTCCCAGTCTGTTTCAGGCATCGCACCAATGTACTGAAATAAATAAAAATATACTGTTTTACAGACAAACAATAAAAGTTAAAGAATATTTTTACAGGAGAAATAAATTTAAATTTAAGCAAAATGGAAATATTTTTCAGAATTAGGCAAGTTATTGATACAGATATACTCTATTTATTACCTTAAAAATGTTTATAAATTTTTATGTCCGAGATGCAGTAAGTGGTAGATTCAGCATCCTAAATGATGCATCGTTAAATCATTAAGTGAGAAAATAAAGCTTAATTCTTGAATCAGAATAATATAAAGAACAAAATGCAAACACTGAAAATAGCTAAGTTTCTCATGAATGGATGAGTTTTAATAAAACTCTGTCATCATTGGATGTATGGTACAACTACACCTGACTAACTTTGGAGTCACCTCAAATTAACTGCCACAGTAATCAACTCGAGCAAACACAAAATTAGCTCTCACTCAGTCACTTTTACAAATTTTGCACTTAAACTTTGTGTGATGTTTACAACAAACATCCTGAGATTGACATTGCATTAAACTGCATGACATTATTTCCAAAGTATGACAGAAATGGCTATGTTATCCTTTTCCAACATAAAATGATCTAAATCTAACACTCTGGCACAAAAGGTGGCAGAAAATGTGCATTTGTTCAAGGGATGCTAGGCCCCTTAGTATAAATTAAAGCAAACAGATACAAAATTTAAAATCTTTGTAATAAAAAAACTTTGATAACAAATCACACTCTTTGAATGTAAAATGATAACATTGTATTACATTAGCATAACGTGAGAAGAATATTTACTCTGTGTTCCTCTGCTCCTCCTGTTGGCTGGCTTTAGCCATGGCACTGACGGCACTGCGAAGGAGCTGCACCTCAATGGCTCTCTGCAGCTCTGTTGGATCAGGACTCATGGAGGGCAGAAGTCTCTTCAGATCTGAGCACACACACAGAAAATCCATAACTTTCATTAAGCTCGCTTGGAAATTATATTTTATTACCTTCACATACAAACATAAACAAATGCATAGTGCAGTCAATGCTGCTCATTTGTTTTGGCTGTTATTCATGCTTACCAAGCTTGTCCTTGCTGCTAGAAATTGAACTGTAGTCCTCCCCAGGCAGGAGCTCCAGCTGAGTCCCACACTCTTCCAGGTCTCCTTCTTCGAAGCAGCTCAGAGCCTGGATGTAGTTGAAATCTGTCCTCAGGTTAATGTTGACTGGATTTGAGGAGTTTTGTTTGAGGGTGCCGATGGTGGTCTGCCACTCCTTCACTGAGGCCCAGTCAGAAAGTGCTACATAACACTGACAGGCCTTATTAGCCAGAAAGTTGACCACCTCAGGGGAGCACTCAGTGGACTTCAGCAGCACAGTTTTCCTGCTGTCACCTATTTGGAAAAATACAAAAAAAAGGTACATTGATAACAAAAATCTTACAGTATTACACCAAAATTCAGTACAAACCAAATGTACAGATGAAAACAAACTTAATGGGTCCCTTCTCCAATGATTAAAAAAACTGGTGCACAGTCATTTGGATGGGTGAGCAAAAACTTTTCACAATATAATGAATGGTAATGATGCAATGTTTGTCTCATTTGTCTCTATGTGGCATTGGACTTGTGACCTGCACAAAATGTGCCCCACCTCTTGCACAATGACTGCTGGAAAAAGACACTAGCTCTAAAACATGGAATTACTTTTGTGCCACCAGCTTGACCGTGCATTGACACTGATTTGAGTGCGGAAATCACAGTTATTTGACACGTGTACATTTAAATCTCACACACGATCAGCTCTAGAAAAACTGTCACCACTTGGCTCATCCCAGCTCGCACTCGGATCTGTGTCCATGATCGCAATGAACCACGGCACCAGCCAAAAACATCCAAATCAGCCAATTAAAGCATGTCCAGCAAAGTACTGCATCAAGAGGCGGAAGTTACAGAACAGTACCATTTATGAAATACACAAGAGAAAATAGTATTTTTTTTTATTTTGTAGCACAAGAATATTTCTTTAAACATACGAATGTACAGTGTGTGTCATTGTGCACTTTAGGAAATATTTCCCATGACCAAGATGTATTTCTTGTTGATCTTGATATTTGTCAATATTCAGTTTGCTATGTCAAATGAGTGCCTAAGAGAAAGAACTGATTTCACCAAAAAAGGATGACTTTTAAATAGTTTCAAAACCATTCAAGGAGGCTATTAGAGCTTTGGGAGTAGTCAGTCAAAGAGCAATTAAAAACCTTGATGGAGTAGGAACTCACTGGAGCCTGTTGCAGCAGCAACAAAAACATCTGCTTGTGCACACCTGCTTTAATGGAGGCCATCAAACTGTTAAAAGCTCCACAGTAAAATGGGGCCAGTGGTGGACGAGATTCACCCCCAGCTGCTGAACGCCCTGGACGTTGTGGGGCTGTCATGGTTGATATGTCTCTGATGTTGCATGGACAGTTGGACAATGCCTTCTGAGTAGGAAACTGAGATCATGTTCCCACTTTTAAAAGGGATACCAGACGCACTTCTCAGACTTCATAGGAAAATTTACTCAAAAGTTACAGAAAGGGAGGCTCTGGCCAGTTGTCAAACCTCAAATTCAGGTGAAGTAGTGTGACTTTCATCGTCATTGAACAGTAGAACAAATGTTTTCTTTATTTTTCCTTTTAAGACATCAGGACCTAATTACATATACAGGCCAACCAACATTAACATTAAATAAAGCAAGTTACCATTACTGGTGTGTTTGGGGCTGCTTGTGCTGTTGGAGAGTTTCAGCAGACAACCGTTGTCTGAGTTTTTGATGCTACAGTCTATCCCAGTCACTGCAGACAGCTGATCCTGATACTCCAGAGCTGCTTTCTCAAACCTACACACATACATTTTGTGAGGACAACAAACTGAACACCAACCAAAACATGGGGAGTTTGTTAGTAAGTGAACTGTGAGCATACCGTCCCTCAGCTTGCAGGGCAGTGGACGCCAACCAGCCCAGACTCTTCCCAGAAGTGAGGAGGCTCCAGGCTGCGAGCCCCTGAATGGCCTCAGGACAACGCAGCTCACACAGAGCCTCGACCAGCAGTGCAAGAGGAACCTCAAGCTCTGGAGCCTAGTGAGCACAAAAACCTCCCAATTACCCAACAACTGGATACAACCTCTAAACCTCATACCTTTTTACTTTAAATGTTTAAAACTACTTTCAATCTACAGTTAGTTTTTGCAACAAGAAGCTAGAAAGGTTTGAATCACCAAGAACATTTTTATCATTTTCAACAGGGCTTGCAAATGCAGAGAAGATACAGACGTACTTAGCTGCTATCTAACCTGTGTGCTGCTGTTTTTAAACTCTGTAAGAAGGTCAAAGCCGTGGCGGACAGTCACTGCAGGCTGGCCTGAAAGAAGCCCGACCCTCATCAAAGCCAAGCGGATCCTTGTTAGCCAATCCTGGCAGGTCTGACGGTTCGTGTAGAAGAAAGTCTTAATGCCCTGAGAGGTAAGACAAGAGGGTTATTATCAAATAAACAACTTTTCTGCTAGATTTGGGCAGTGATTTTCAAATGCAACACCCTACTCCCACCCCCTCCTCCCAAAAAAATAATACACTATAGATGTGCCCCAGCATCAGTTTCTGCCATAGTACTTTATCTTGAAGGAATTAAAATGGCAATACTAGTCACAGTCAAGCTCAGTTTTGCTGTCAGCAAACAGACACTCCTGATCTAAACGTCAAGACCAGTTGAAAAATGGCAAGAATTCACATTTTGCACCATTTCATCGTAAGAAGGTTCTAAGTAGAGCTTCGAAATGCAAAAAGATGCCCACCGTGAAGCCACCTTCACCACTTGGAGAAACATTTCTTCTAGCTGCCTGGAAACACTGGCATTAAGCACGCCAAAACAAATTTTTGAGGTGAAGAGTGACACAGCTAATCTTTAATGTTTTTTTTTGTAGATATTTGATCAGTTGACGAACAGCACATTTTAGTTTGCAAAAAATGCTTAATCTGATGATTTATTCATTCATTTATTTATTTATTTATTTGCATTTCAAAGCTCTCAGGGGTGTCAAACCCCAGTTCTTGAGGGCCACAATCCTGCATATTTTAGAGGTTTTCCTACTCCAACACACCTGATTTTGATTGCTGGGTAATTAAAAGGGTTCTGCCCAATTTGAAGAGTTAATTCAATCCCTGAATCAGGTGTGTTGGAGCAGGAAAACCTCAAAAACATGCAGGATAGTGGCCCTTGAGGACTGGAGTTTGACACCCCTGCAAGGCTTTGAACCTTCTTAAGACCCAATAATGCAAAATGTAAATTCTTGCAATTTTTCAACTAGTCTTAAAATTTGATCAGGAGTGTACCTCTTCATACACAGGGCCAGACAGAGGCAAGCAAGGCCGACAATCATTCACACACTCACATCCGGTGACAATTTAGAGTCACTAATTAACTGAACACAAACATTTTTATCTGTGTTTTATATTTAATTAGTCCAGGAGGAGGAAAGGACAAAATAAGCATGCACTGTCAGAAGAATGAATTGTTGCAAGTCGGTCGAATGTTTATGGGATATTAGACATGACTAGAGTTACTGAACCAGACAGTGGTGAGGTGGTATATAGAAGGGCTGGGGTGGAATATAAAAAATAAAAACCTAAATATACCAGACTAATTTGAAGAATGTTTGTGCTTAAAATGCCTACTTGCTGCCTGAATGAACATATTCGGATGATTCTATCCTTTTATCTTTGCACACCTTCGGTGGAGCAGTGAGAGCATTGGCGCAGCCTTCATAGGCGTTGTACATGAGCTTCTCCAAGTTTTCTAGGTACTGAAGCAGCAGAGTGAGGCGGAGCTGATTGGAGTGGTGACCATCTCCATCACTTCCAGTTCCAGCCCACGCTCCAAGATCTTGTTCTGGATTCAGACTGTGTGCAGCCAGGCTCCGGATCATCCCTTCAAACACAAACAAAGATTTATGGAATGAATGGGTTAAAGTTCAAGTTCAACTGAACAGTCATTCTTTTTTTAAGGCAGGAGTAAATAAGTAATATGATCACAGATCTGTAAAAAAGAAAAAATGCTAGGAGTTTTGTTTGCTTACCAACAAACCAAAACTTTCTCAGAACAAGATAAAAAAAACAGGTCATGAACAGGTTAAGGTAGGATTTATCAGCTGGTAGTGGTGTATTTAGTTTAAATCTGATTTCGTGCCCTCCTCCCTGTGTAATTTCTCCCTCTGACAGCACAAACTGAGTTTACCTTCAATAGTCTGGAAGGTGTCCTGAGCTCGTCCCAGTGGCGTGCGGAGTTTGGACAACACGGTGAACTGGGCGGCCTCCCAAACAGCCCACTGCCATAACACCACCTCTGTTTTCAGCAAGGCCTGTGGCACAACATCTGGTCTGCTACCATCCGAGTTTCCATGACCATCTCGCTTCTCGAGTCGCTGACAGCTGTAGTACAAACGCTCCAACCATGGGTCCTTGCTGTAGATACACAAATGTGAAGGGTAAGAAGTGTCATTACAGAGAAACCTGCAATCATAAAATGTTGTCCAAACTAAACAAAGTGACAGAATAAAAGTATTTCCTTGTGAAACATGTTTGTAAAATAGTGGTTGTTGGTTGGTAGTTCGTTGTCGAATAAACTGTTTGTTAAACTGTATGCAAAGAAAAAACAAATGGTGAATGAAGATATTTCATTACATTTTTTTAAGATCTGTTTCTGTATTATTTTTATTATTATTGTTACTGTATTCTGAAATGTCTGTCCCCAATTTTTATTGCAGCCAATTTTTTTTACTGTCATCATACTGTATTTTGATCTTAGGGTATAAGAAAACACCTCCATACTGCCTAAGCCTACTCTATATACTATAAAAGAGAATACAGGGAACAAGTAGTAAAGTTTTTGTAAATTCTTTTGTACGGTACCCTCCTCGGTGCAGGACTCCATATAAGATGAAGCTGATGAGATCACTGAAGTCCTGGGGATGGAAAGTGGTGCTCGGTGCGCAGCTCATGTGGTGACGAATGGCCAGAGAGATCTCTCTAATCTCAGACTGACTGTGGTTACTGTCAAAAAGCAAAAAACAAAGATTGAGTTCAGTAACACGATTTGATGCTTTTTTAAATACAATCTGAGTAGTCTGACCTCAAAGCCACATCCAGGGGGATAGTCCTGAGTAGTTTGGCATATGCCTGCCTCACCTTCACTGCTGAGTGGACCAACTGAACTCTGCACACATTCACACACCTAACACACAAACACACACACACAGAGTGAGCTTTACAAGATTTTCAAAATGTACAGCACAACATATAACAATAATTAGGAAAATGTTCAAAAGCCAAAAGGATTTTAGACAAACTGCAGAAATGTGAAAGCTGAGTACTAAATGTTGATGAAATTTGCTGAAGTTGCTAAAACTGAGTTGTTAAAGTTAAAAAAAGCAAGAGAGATGCTAAAATTGGCAAAACCATAAGATAGTGGTGGTCAGAGTGTGCCTCAGGGAAGCTGTGGCTACAATGTAGCTTACTACCATCAGTGTGAATGGGTGAAGGTCTTTAAGTGTACAGAGCTTTGGAGTACATAGGGACTTAATAAAACAATATGTAAGTTCAGTCCATGGTAAAACTATTTGAAAAAAATAAAAATTAGCTAAAATTAGAAAAATTTTAACGAAAAAGTATATAAAAAATACAAAAGTCACAACAGTATTGAGAAGTTAATAGCAGTAAAATGGTAGCTACAAGTGGCTAATAAAAGAATAAAAAGTGTGAAAGTATGCTGAAGCAGATTTTAAAACAATGTTATAAAACAAATAAGGAGATCTCAATGTATTTCTATGGAGAATTAATTTTAAGTTAAGTTACAAAAAATGTCAGTGCATTGTTTCTGACTGAGCTTAACACTGAAAGAATGCAATGCTTCGTTCCAAATATTGTATGTAAGACACTAATCAGGAAAACAATAGAAGCCTTGACAGAATGAGGTTCACCTCTGCAGGAGTTCTGTGGACAGACATGTAGACAGAGCTTGTAAGCTGTAGCAGGTCTGAAGGCAAATACTTTGATCTTCATGCAAAGCTGACAAGAAAAACAAAGAAAACATTTTAAGCATTTCAATAACTTTTTTAATAACCTAAAAACCATAAGCAGAGGATGGTCAGTTCTTGGACAGAAGTGTAAGCTTTACCATTATACAGCAGGCCTCTGCAGAACTTGTTAAAGGAGGGCAGGGAGAACAGAGGGCTGTAGGTTTCTGATTTCATCATCAGCAAAGAGATTTCCTGAGCCCAGGTCAGCAGAAGCTTCCTAACATAAACAGAAATAAATTAAACAAGTTATACACTGATTGCTGTCTTTTATTTAATGTAGTTTGTCTTGTAACTGGAAACTACCAGTCAGAAACTACTCAGGCCAATTCAACTAAATAACTGAAATGTAACACAATGACTCTAAGTTAATGTTAAAGACAAAATAGAATTTCATGACAGTTTTACAAACTTTTCTAAAGGGCTCGACACATGGGCAGCGACAAACTACAGCGATTAACGGCTGTCATCGCAGCCAGGGTGAAACCCGACACACGGGACGCGCTAGCGATCGCAGCGTTGCGAATCGCGCTCTCAGGTCGCTTGTCTTCACAAAATTTGATTGGTTCTTGACTCTGAAGGCGGGTGTGCATTACGGACGTGTAAACTAAACAAATCTTGCGATGCTAATGATAYTGAAAAACAAACACACATCAAGATACAGTTTTATGAGGAAAAACTTACCATAAACTTCACCCTGGTGCCAATAAACTCCCACAAAGCTTTTTAGTAATCACTTGGTGTAAGTATTAGCTAACTGCAGTGTGTAGCATACTCTCCTCTCATTGGTCAGTCAACGAAACCCTCGCTGATTGGTTGTATGCTAAGCGACAGCGACAAAAGTTGAACATTTTTCAACTTTCATAAGTCGCGTTGCAAGCTCGCGTGTGCACGTCTACGTGTACGAGCGCGAAATTTCACATGCACTATTTTCGCCGTCGCTTAGCTGGAGGAGGGCAAGCGATTGTCGCCTCACCGCACAGGCTCCATAGGAAATGAATGGAGAGCGAGCGACGTCGCCTCCCGTGTGTCGAGCCCTTAAAACAATTACATTATTGTCTAACAACCTGGAGTTGATTTTTTAAAGTTCAGTAAAAACTGAACTTTTTTTTCTGCACTTGCATTTATCATCTCTTCTTCATTTTCTTTATTCATGTCCCACTACTTTCAGTGTCTTTTCAGTTGATTCACTCGATACAATATGTATTAAAGTCCAACACCCACCTTGTTTTCAAATCACATATCCAGCACAATATGATAAAAGACATAAAAACACAGATAACACTAACTGAAATTTTTTAAAAAGAACACTAAATTGTTTTAAAATGACTTTTAGTGAGTTTTCAAGCTGCTGCTCTGGAAAAGCTGTTCTATGGTGTTTCCTGTATCGACTGTCCCATTCTTCATGTGTTGTATTTAGCGAATCAACAGAAAGGGAACACCTCGTCATGAACAGAGCTACTGTTTCCTGAAAGAGAGGAATGAGATGCAGCACATGGCTGCTGCATGGCACAGCTGGCCTCTGTGATGAGCTGCTACTGAAGCGAGGAAAGACGGGGCCTTGTCACTCGTCATCACTTCATGTGCATAAACGCATGATTGAAGGCATCAGTGGTCACACTGTCCCATATCCCATACTTCACTACTACACTGCACTCTCTGTCCTAACACATTGACTTTGATACTGCTGTAAATTTTCATCTGCCTGAAAACAACTGCCATGTTTTCTTTATGTTCTGTGCTCAACATTTTCTTTCATTCATTCATGCAGATTAAAGCCCATTGAGATCATAACATTTGAAAGGGGGACCTGAGCCATCTTGAAACAGTTTAGCTGACATGATCATTCCCACTCTCTTTTAGCCATGTATTTATTTTGAAATGCATCTGTGTTAGAAATGCAAAACACAAGGAAACTCCAAAATGGTTTTCCTTCTAGTAGCTATTAGGGTTGGGCATAATCGTATCGTCAAATCGTCAAAAAAACATTCATCTATTACTTTTTGGCACTTGATTAATACGATTAATGCCAACAAGTGAGTCTGCTCGGTGCTCCTCTCTGCTTCAAATATGATGAACATTAAAAAGGAAGTTCTATGATTTATTTATCTATCAACACAATTTAAAATTAGATGTATAGCCTGAAGTCTGTAATTTTGACACAGTTTGAAAAAGATTTTTACAAAGAGCAAGTCTTTCCCACTAAAATGGCCATGTGACCAGGACATAAGGATGTCCAGGGACTCAAGGGGATTAATCGTCAAACTAATCGTTATCGGCTAAATACCACAATTAATAGTGATACTTTTTTTTGCCAATATTGCCCAACCCTAGTAGCTATGAGTCATGTCTATGATTGATTGCTTCCTTCAGAACAAGATAAACAGTTTAAAAGTGATGGTTGCATTGACTGGTTGTTTACAACTTTTGACTTTTTGTGCAAACCTGGCATCAGGAGAAAGGTGCTCCTTTGACAGCAGACTTCCCAGGAGGCTTAGCAACGTGCTAAAATGTTTCTTTGTTGCCGTGGTAACAGTGCTAATGACAGCACCGTCAAACAGAGAGGGGGATGATGATGACAAGCTGGATGAGATAAAATGATCATGTCTGAAAAAAAAATAAAGACAAAAAAGATTAGATGAATAAAACTGATATCAGTAAAACTAACTGCAGATGCCTTTTTTTATTTTTGTTCTATTTTGTTTTCCTGAAGTGTTCTAAATTAATGAAAGTGTAGTCGCTAAACAATTTGTCAGTCAGTGTTAGATGTACATGTGGATCTATCACACAGAGCCTTAACAAATAAGTCGTCCCTGTTGAACTTTAAAATGTTTCACCATAAAAAACAACAAGTGCCAAAGTGTTTTACTGTGATTTGATGTCATAAAGCAAAACAAAGTATCTAAACTGTAAGTGAAGAAAAATTATAGATGATATGGTTTCATATTTTTCTTTTTACAAATAAAAAATTGTATTCAGCCTTTGAGTCAATACTTTGCAGAACCACTTTCCCTTTAATTATAGCTGAAAATATTTTGGAGTTTGTGTACTAGAGCGAAGTCGCTCAAACTGCATGAACATTTTAGTCCTGATAAGAACTTTTAATTTAACGAAAAATCAAACAGTTCTGCAGAAATTCATAAAAAGCAATGAACGCATAAATAAAGGGCATACAAAAACAAGTTTTTTTGGAGTTTACAAGGTAAACTGTACCTTGTAAACTCCAAGTTTTCTTGGAGTTTACAAGGTACAGTTTGAAAAATTATTTCAAAATAAAAGTCTAGCTGTGTCAATGATTAGATTTTTACAAAACTATATCCCAATTTATTACTATCTCAGATTTTCCTACATCAGGCTTCAACTTCATTCATATCCATAGTTCATTATCAGATGCAAAACTGTACTTATTTTGTGAAACAAATTAGTTAGTGAATAGGGAGCACTCACATTTTGTGGCAATAGCTAAAGATATTGTGATTCACTCCTTCAGAATAGATTAGATATTTATGACAACCTACAGTATTCTTCTACCCTGGCAGGTTTGAACAACAAGAATTTTAACTCTGAGTCCAATTTCATGACAAAAAAAATTAGCTTCCAGGTGCGAAAAATAATGAAGAGTGTCATTCATACTATGAGGGTATTACCTGGTGCAGTGTGAAAAGAGGGAGTAGAGTACAGCATACTGGATGGTGGGGTAGTAGACAGCCAGCTCAGCATGAACCAGCATCAGATTGTTACTCAAAAGAGTGAAGACCGTCGGAGACAGCGCCCACATCTAGGTCAAAACACATTTATAAATACCGACAGAAATACAGATTTTGAAATGTCATGTCAGTAAAATATTTTCTGTATGGCATTTGAGACATCTTGTTTTGAAATGGTTTAAGCTAATTTTGTCTGAGGCCATAGGAATATATAGACCCAGAAAAATTAGATGGTACTAGGAATACAAACGATATATGGTAGAAACTATATAAATTTGGCCTATGATAGAGATCTGTACTCCACCGGCCAGCCGCATTAATTCTTTTTGATGACGTAACCGGCTGGAGTCAAAACAGAGGAAGCGGGAAGCACAGTGGCTGAGAGCGCAAAGGAAGAGGAAAAAAAAAACTAATTATCTGGACCTGGTTCGGGTGTGCGAAAATGAACACCGAACTGTTTACATATTTATGTGACAGCGCATCGTCCGGTCGGCTGCAGAGCGACCATACTGCCTGCAGCGGGAGGAGCGCGGCAGATGTCATGGTCACACAGCGAGGCGACTGTCAGCGCAGGTGCGAGCTCCAGTGGGACGCACAAAAGCTCGCGGACATCGTTTCTCCTGTGGTCATAGCGCGATGCTGTCTACAGCAGGGACGCGCTGTGGGAAAGGGTGATGGTCGACCTGTCTTTCAAAAAAAAACAAACAAACTGTAAAGCATAAACAGGATGATTGTCACCCCGCCGGAGCGCGCACAGAGTAAAACATGTGGAGTGCAGAAAAAGTAATCTGTAAAGGGTTTAGAAAGGAATAAATACAAGCAATTTGTTTAACCACCTTAAAACGAAGCAGGTGATTCCAAACAACATCCAATGGATGCTGATATCTATTACATTAAAGTTATTGTGTGTGTGTTTGTGTGTGTGTGTATTTACCCAGGTAGATCTCCCTTAAATTTAGATTTTTAAGGGAGACTTTAAAGTTTCCCCTAAAAAGGAGATTTTAAGGTCTTAATTTTTTTTATCCTATACATATTTATACATTCCATTCAATTAGTATTTGATTTATTTATTTTCTATTAWAAGTTTTATATCGTGATATACAGTATATAGTTACCGACACGCATCATAATCTATATCGTGATATGAATTTTTTGCCATATTGCACATTCCTAGATGGTGCTCTTACAGCTAATTAAAACCATACTTCATCCCTCAGAAAAAGTGATGTGCATGAAAACAAGTGTTTAATGCCTGTCTTTAGTATGTGATAGAGTACAGAAATAAGTTATGAAAAGAAATGATTTCTTGTTTATTTTAAAAAAGATCTGCTAAAATAATTTGGAACATTTAAAGAAATTATTAATCTTTGAATTAATCTGTTTTTATTTTACCAAATCCCACTGAGATCACAGATCTATTTTTTCAAGGGAGGCCTGTTCCTGAAGGGGATTTCACATACTGTACATGGATGGATTTTTCTCAAGGGAGGCCTGTTCATGAAAGGGAATTTCACATACATGGATGGGTTTTTCGTGAGGGAGGCCTGTTCCTGAAGGGGGAATTCGGACAATTTTTCTCGAGGGAGGCCTGTTCCTGAAGGTGGATTTCGGATGGGTTTTTCTCGAGGGAGGCTATTCCTGAAAGGGGATTTCGGATGGGTTTTTCACGAGGGAGGCCTGTTCCTGAAGGAGGATTTCGGACGAGTTTTTCGTGAGGGAGGCCTGTTCCTGAAGGGGGATTTCGCACAGGTTTTTCGCGAGGGAGGCCTGTTCCTGAAGGAGGATTTCGGACGGGTTTTTCGCGAGGGAGGCCTGTTGCTGAAGGGGATTTCACATACATGGATGGATTTTTCTCGAGGGAGGTCTGTTCATGAAAGGGGATTTCACATACATGGATGGGTTTTTCGCGAGGGAGGCCTGTTCCTGAAGGGGGAATTCGGACAATTTTTCGCGAGGGAGGCCTGTTCCAGAAGGGGGATTTCGCACAGGTTTTTCTCGAGGGAGGCCTGTTCCTGAAGGGGATTTCGCACAGGTTTTTCTTGAGGGAAGCCTGTTCCTGAAGGTGGATTTCGGATGGGTTTTTCGCGAGGGAGGCCTATTCCTGAAAGGGGAATTCGGACGGGTTTTCACGAGGGAGGCCTGTTCCTGAAGGGGGATTTCGCACAGGTTTTTCACGAGGGAGGCCTGTTCCTGAAGGTGGATTTCGGACGGGTTTTTCACGAGGGAGGCCTGTTCCTGAAGGAGGATTTCGGACTGGTTTTTCGCGAGGGAGGCCTGTTCCTGAAGGAGGATTTCGGATGGGTTTTTTGCGAGGGAGGTCTATTCCTGAAAGGGGATTTCGAATGGGTTTTTTGCGAGGGAGGCCTGTTTCCTGAAGGGGGATTTCGCACAGGTTTTTCTCGAGGGAGGCCTGTTCCTGAAGGGGGATTTCGGACGGGTTTTTCTCGAGGGAGGCCTGTTCCTGAAGGGGGATTTCGCACAGGTTTTTATCGAGGTAGGCCTGTTCCTGAAGGGGGATTTCGGACTGGTTTTTGCGAGGGAGGCCTGTTCCTGAAGGGGGATTTCGGATGGGTTTTTCTCGAGGGACGCCTGTTCCTGAAGGGGGATTTTGGACGGGTTTTTCTCAAGGGAGGCCTGTTCCTTTAGGGGATTTCGGACGGGTTTTTCTCAAGGGAGGCTTATTCCTGAAGGGGGATTTTGGACAGACAGACAGACGGCATTTAGCCTATTTAAAGGGAACAGTTTGGTATGGTTGTGTACTCTACGATGAACATGGAGCAGTGAAACTAAAGACCAGAGCTGTCTGATGAGCTCAGTGAGACAATTATTTACATCTACAGTTTATTACAGGTAAACGAGACAAGACCACCATCCTTTCAAAAAACACTCAGCCTCTAAAAGTGTTATCAACTGATATAAACCATTCCAGATAAAAACCACAATGGCTCACCCCAATGAGAGAGTTCTTGGTGTTTCCAATGGTGGTAAGGGTGCTGAGGTTGAAGAGGAGGATGAACTCAGCCTTTTCCACTGGTAGGGTTAAAGAAGCAAAAGCAGGGTGCTGGATATTGGCACAGGGGCCATTAGCAGCCAGGTTTTTACCACTAGACTCTAAGCTCCCCATCAGACTGGAAAGAGCACATGCCATCTCCCCTAAAACCATTTTATAAGCTGCCTCCAGTGTGGGAATGTTTTTGAGGCTCAGCAGTGCATGATATACACCATGTACAGCAGACATCACCTGTACAAAACACACAGACATACAGAAGCAAATTAAGGCATTTCTTTTGGAAACTTTCCTCTAACGTGCATTCAATAAAATCATATTAACACACGTAGATTTAGATTTAGATACTTTAATCTCTGACTTAAACTCAAACAGTACCATAATCAGCCTCACTCTGACTAAACTAGAGTTGATATGATACTTTACCATTTAGGGTTATTTTTAGATCTGGGCTTGTTTATTTTTTATTCAAAATCACACTGGTTCAAAGACTGTAAGACTTTGATCTGGCATTTAAACAATGACTCTCAAGTGGTGGGTAGTGACCCAAAAATTGTGTCATAAACTCCTCGTTCGGTGGGTTGTGGGTTTTTGCCTGTGCAAAACATTGAGAAGGAAAATTAACATTTAAATTGTGTCTGTCTTATGGTTAATGCTTGAATAGGTATTTTAATAAAATATTGTTAAATGCATATTTGACAGGTGGGTGGGCTAAGCCCCTGAAAAGAGGGTAGAAGACTCAAGCAGCTACTCAACGCCCAAGTCACTTTATTTGACAACTAAGATGAGGTCTGTGTTTCTCTTTATAGCTTTACCCCTAACCTGGAAGTGACATTTCCATGTCTTTTCACAATAAAACCTAGACACATTCGTCACCAAGTCTTTTCACAAAAAACTAAAACATGTTTGTTGTTATTATTCTAACAACATATCTGATTTATAGCATCAACAAACAGCTACTTGAATTTTAAGCTAAACATTTTAAGCCTCTTTGAAATTCAGACTGTCATGAAAACACTTCATATGGATCAAATAGACAAAACAAGAAAAGAAAAACAATGCTTTGAGTAGCATTTGCCTGCAGTGTGAACGTAGACTTAGTCTCAAGTGTTACTAAAGGACACACACCTCCTTTTCTGGATGGAAGCGTAGGTTCAGAAGCTGGGAGTCAGGGGCCAGCAATTTGTCAACAAAAGAAACTGGCAGCTTTGTGTTTACCTGATCAACAATCTGAAAAGACATCAAGAAATTTAACAAAATCTTCCACAAAATACTAACCAAAGCAGTAAAACAATGCTCAGAGATTTGTGAAGGGACTCAGTTTTGTTTTTATGGTTTTAAAAGGGTTTGTTCCTCCACACACAAATTGTTTTATCAACAAATACAAAACCAGAATAAATAGCAGATGTCAAACTACAGGGGGCTGTGTCATAGAACACACTTTATTCAGTGACTGAGGTACCTCTTCAAGTTCAGCAGAAGACTGTCAATCTTCTATTTAATCTGATCGGCTGAACTGACCACCACAGTGCTGTGCTTTAACGTGTGTATATAAACTTACCTGTCTTATTTCTTATATTGTTCATTTTGTCTTAACCATAGTTTATTTTTCTTTGTCCTGTTTGTCTTTGATTAGTTTGTCCCAGGTAAGTGGTGGTGTGGAGTTCAAACATTGAAGGTAAGCTGTTTGGCCCCCCAAAATGTTGGGTGTATTACAAAAAGCTAACTATATAATTTGATTTCAAGGTGACCGACACTGCAGAATGGCAAAGACAAGGTCTATGGTTTGAATCAAAGCAAGTGAGAAGGGGGGAAAAATTACTGGCACAATATGAACCCTAAGTGACCATACCAGTGTGAGAAGACAGAGCACTGCTAGGCTGTAATCGGAGCCGCAGGTTTGGCAGCAGTGTAGTTGGTCCAGGCCATAAGCAAGGATAGCTTCCATCAGCTGACCACAGGGCTCCACACTGGTCAGCAACACCCCCACACACTCATTCCCCGCTGTCAGAACCGCCTCTGAGAACTGGACTTGCTTTGCAGCTGTCACACAGGCCAGAACTCGGTTTAGAACCTTCAAACACAAACAGAGTGACTTGTAATGACTGTAATAACAAATGATCATTTGAGTAAAAATATACTACTACTACTACTAAAGTTAATAACCCAACTAATTTACAACCACCATTGGCTTGTTAGTCTCCCAACATTACTTAAATAAACTGGAATATTTTGTACTATAGTGTGCAATAGTAATTACTTTAAAATAATAAATACATTAATTTGTTATGTGTGTATTTTGTAGAGGTGATAACGAAGACAACAGCTCTTTCCTTCTTGTTTCTTTGTTCTCCATAATGGAAATACATCTAATTTCTAAGATAAAGATTGGCCACATCTTGTGGCCATGTTGTTTGTTTACATTGTTTTAGATAAATGAGGTAATGAAGAGAAATGGCAGCTCCCACCTGCACATATATACATCTATCATTGCTATCATTCTTCAGTTTGATGGCTGCTCTTCACCTTGCAAAGAACACCTCTGAGTCAGGCTAACTAGGTGCTGTTAGCTTTGTGTAGTGCAAGGCTGCTCAATTGTAGCCCAACTGCTTTTATTGGAGTTAGTCTATTTGCTGGTTAGCATGGCTGCCCGCAAATTGCTGGTTTTAAAGTACTACTGTAATCTGGCATTGTGGTTCAGGATGGGAACAAAGCTAACACAAGAGAAGCTAAGCTTTGTGCTTCTGTGCTCTGGGGAAACAGCTTTTCATTTCATGAAACGTTCCAGAACAAGGCTTGTTCAGACTGCCGGGGGACATTTCATGCAGGTAGAGCATTAAAGAGTGACGCATGTGAGTTCTGTTTTCAGCTTTGATGCGCAACCTTAGAGAGGCAGGGTATGTTCTAAGTACTAGGGAAGACTGTTACAGCAAGACCCACTAATCTGAAAGTCTGGGAACTTGGTTTCATCAGAGTCCAACGAGGACAGTTTCTTGGTCAGAGTTCATACTTGACGTTGGGCAGACATCAAGGATTAGGTTGACAAGTTGGCCAAAATCAAAGAGAATGCCACTCAGTCACAGGTTGGACTGGATCCCCTTCAGGGAGACATAGCTGTGCCGATGACATCAAGGTCATTCTGTGACTCTGTGAATGCAGACAATCTCCCCGAGGATACATCCACAGCTCCTTGACTATCAAGCGCTCAAGATGTTAATCATCTTCCTTTCACATCTGTGGAGGAAAGGAGGTTGCACTCCCTGTGTACTTTATGTGCACTGCATAAATAGCTATTTGTGAGTTATTAACCCAGCCAGAGACAGAAATCTGTTCAGACAGAGCCTCTCCCACTGGACTGAAGAGAATATATCTCTAGCTAACAAAAGCAGTGGTCTCCCAACACCTCATGGTGTTAGAGCACTTTCCAACACCCTGGGGTCTATTTAGAAGGGTGCCTGTGAGTGACATCTGTGCTGAGGCCAGCTGGTATTTACTACATACATTTCTTCAGTTTTATAGTTCGGATGTCACAGCCCTTTCAGTGGCTCACACTGTTCTTTAAGGTGGGTCTAAGATGCCACATATCTGCTGTATTTGACACAGGTTTGATGCCATCTCTGTAGAGTGTTCATATATTTATTTATACAGAGTGAATTGACTGAAATGGAAGAAGCCTTGTGCATGAAACTGCTGTTTATTAAAGAGTACAAGGTACAACAACTGGCTGACTGTGTATTTTAAGTCGATTTATATGTGTGCATTAAAATGAATACAACTTTAATACAGCTTTTTTGGTTGCTTTCTTCTACAGAGGTCATCACAGCAAGCGAACTTGTATTAAATATTTGGCAATTTTTCATGCCAAACCCCCACTCTTTATACAGCCTGGGCTAGAACATGCAGCTTCAGGATTATTGACTTCAAATATTAATAGTACTAATATTTTATACCTATAATATAGTTATAACAATATGTTGCGTCATTTAGGTAAAATAGTATTTTCATTTCAGTTTTTATTCAAAAGCAAAATAATAAATAAAACTTGTTTTTTTCCAATAACACAGTGAAACCACGGTATTTTTCTTAAGGTTTACAGTAGTCTGAATCTTATACTGACTTATGAGTGACCAAATGTTTTGATTTCCACTTTCAAAATGACCCAATTCTGTAGATTAAAGCAACAGAAGTTTTTGTTGTTTTAGTTTTACTGGATTAGTTTTAAAACTAAGCATGTAAGGTATGTTATAGAGAACATGGAAACAGAGATGCTTTTAAACTGGGATACATTTCTCCTCATTAATGACACGACAGATCTACTTTGGAAACATGTTTCATGACAGACATTAAGCAGGTTCCCCTGGATGTGGATCTTACATCAGTGACGTAGACTTCAGTGATGGGTGGTCCTCTTAAAGGACTGAATCGCTCTCCAATGCTGCGGACCACTGTACTGAAAACCCTCAACAGAGCTGCTAATTTTGGCAGTGACACTGAGGGTGGAGGGATGTCTTCATCCAACACCTCACCTGACATCACATGACTCAGATCCTAAACAGAACATGAAATGAGTCATGAAAAAACATTATCAGGTCAAAGAGACTTACACGGACAAATTTAACTACAGTATTTTTGATCAAGTTGTGCCACAATCTGATAAATATCTGTTTGTTCCCGTTCTTAAAATCAAATAAGGTTTGTTAATAAGTTTGATAAAACCGGAAGGCCTGCAACACGAGATTACAAATAATTTTATAGAATGGCTGAGGTCACCTCTGCATATGCCTCCATATCTTCCAGAAACTGCCCCAGCAATGTGGTAGAGAAGGTCAAATCTGCCACCCAGAACTGTTCCAGACTCTGTAACCAACCTAAACACACAGGAGGAGACCAAACGAGACAAATAATAAAAAAATAATAAAACACCGGACCGTCAGGTTCTCACAAGCGTTTGATAAATGCTTCTAAGCAGAACGACAAGCACTGCATCTTACAGGCACCTACATTCACATGTCAGGTAATTAAGCTCATCAAGGGGTTATCCTCATGAAATATGACTCGAATGGCTCAGAACCGTTTTGATGTCAAAATAACACTGTTCAGATGTCTGAATGTGTTGTTTCTTATCTGACAGCCCTCTGTGACACGACTGTGTGTCATTCAATCACAATACATGTACATGAGAATCTAATCACCTTATCATCAATAATAATTCATACTGACCTGAAACTTGCTGAGTGAGTGACTGCTTCTGTGTGTGATCAATGTGCCATCCCACCAAAATGTCCACTGTGTCCTGTGGAGAAAGCAGATAAAAGAAAGATCAATAAAGAAGTGAACTGATTTCAGGTGGTTTTCATGTCTCATTCATTAAACACTAAGTGATGAAATGCTTACTCTGAAGTTGGTGCTGAAGACATGCGGGTAGCAGCGAGCCACCTGGAGAATGCACTTCACACTCTGACAAAGCAAGTCTGGTGTGTCCACATTCTCCAAAATAGACTGCAGGTTGCTCATCACCAGCTAAAATGCACAAAAGACTGACTTCAGCTTATGAAGAATTTGATTAGAATGCAAAGGTGCAAAGATTTAAAGTTTACATATTGCATATCCTGAAAGTGGTTACCAAATGTGTTGGCAACCAGAACTTTTGATCTGATCATCTAGAACACATGTGTCAAACACAAGGCCCGTGGGCCACATGACTCCCGTGTGGCCCGCCAGGGGGATCTTTTTTTTTAACTGAACATAACTTTTACTTAGCATGATATTTGTTTCTTTT